GATAATTTTCTTTTAGCTCGAATGTTATTCTACCGCTCGTGTTGTGTGAGAGAGACGACGGTAGAGCATGAGTGTTCAAATACAAACAGAATGTCGCGCACGACAACGAAGCGAGTGTAGTAAAAAACGTCAACTGTTTCAACCCCAGCTCACTACTAGGGGCATCCCACTCTAAACTTTGTATTTCTCACGATGTACTTATAAAGTTCTAACTGAAGTCTTAGATACCTATAAATACTTAAAAATACTTAAGAAATACTTATTACTAGATTGTTTCCCTGGTTGCTAAACAAATTTCTGTTATTTGTTTACTCAATGTTGTCAGGGATTTAATGTGTTAGGTTGGATTTTGTGCATTGCGATCGTTAAAGTATTTAGATCATACAAATTAAGAGATTTACAACTTCAGAGGAAAGGTCAATTATGGTATTTCGTTTATGAGAATGTATCTTTTCTTCTGACATAAGAGACAATTTAAAAAAAAAATCTGCTTTCCTGCGGCACCGATTCTCAACCTGAGGTACCCGTCTCTCTTATTTATGTAGCTATATTTGAGATAGTATCTGAGCAAACACACTTTTTCTGAACAAGTTTCATTATAATATTCACTCCTATTCCCTATTTGGATCGAAACGGATTTGTCATAAGTATTTTTGAAAATTTGTTTTGATCAAAATAATGGTAGATATATAAGTGATCAATTGAATTCTATTGAACAAAATTAGTATTAGGTAAACATGTGAAAGAGAACAGAGAGCCAAATGTAAACCATTTCTTTTTAAAAATATATATATAAATATATATATATATCGATGTTTTTTATTTGTCAAAGCCCATTTGCATTAGCTTCACAAAGCTGAAGTTCAATTTAACATTAACAGAGTTTTATTTAAACTAATGTTAGTGGAACGAGGACCGATTACTCGTGGCATGCTCGAGGTTAGGGGTAACAATTGGGTAAACAGGTGGAAGTTCTCGGAGTTTCACTGAAGTCCCCATACATGTCTGCATAGTTGACGGCGTACCGTTTCCAAATTAACTCTGTCTTCGTCCTTATGTTCTCTTCCAATTGTGATGTAACTTCAGGCTTCAAGAGCGCTATGGTTAGGCTACTTGAAAATGCCAGTACGTCCACCTTTTTCATCTTAATACGAAAATCCTCGGCAAAATCACCAAAGCACCGTTGAATGATGACTGTAAATAAAATATTTAATATAAAATGAGTAACAGCAATAGTCAATTAAATTATATTCAAATCATCAAAATATCAATTTTATCCTATCAGTATGAGTATAGTGAAATAGATATTTTACTTACCGTACCGAAGACTAACTCTTAGGTAGATATTTCGCAAAATTCACGCGTAATGTTTGACATCGAAATAAAAAAAAAAACAATTGCACTAGAAATCGAGGTTATTGCCATGACTTGCTTGATCAAAATAACGTCTAGATAAAAATATTTGAAAATACTTAAAAATACTAAAGAGATATTTAACAATACTTAATGAGTATTGGAACTAAAGTTTAGATTGGGATGCCCCTAGGCTCACTATAATATATCTCAGATGACGTAGCGGTTCGTGCTGGGGCTCTCACGCAGAGGACTGAGTTTAATTCTTCAAACAGCTCCAAATCTAATACTAATGCTCACTAGCGTGCACAGGAATCTTGTTAAGGAGGGGCAATTTTTTTTCTTTGGTGCATTTAATCTGGGGATGGGGAGTACTCCAAAGTACGTCGTAGATGGTGCTGTCCTCCTCCCACTTTTTCCCTACTGTTCAATTTAGCTCATTTTACTTATTTTTTTTTGTGGTTCATCTTCTTCAATGCAAACTGCTTTCAGACAGCCAATGGAAGTTGGCAATTTAATCCCATCGACGATGTCGATGATGATCGGTTCGTCAAATGGTTGCGATAGTAGGGCTTTATCAGAAATTATACATTTGCTGCAATGTTGTTGCCTTGGTCGTTGAATTCAGCTGAAGTCACGTCAGTTGGTGGTGATTGCATCGACAAACCGAGATGAATGACCAATAAGAATCGCATTTTCCTTTCACATGCACACTGCGTCGACAACTACAAGGCTCAAACAGTGCTCATAGCAGTGAACAAACAGTATATTGCTCTTGATCAATCCAATCTTGATCAGTGATATTGGGTGCTTGGCTCTGATGAAGTCTGCAAGTAGAAGACGAAATATGCGTATCTGTCAAAAGATAAGCAATTATAACGGAATTAAAAGGAAACAAACCAACACACTCAAAGCTGTGCATTGACATTTTCAGAGAAGATTCTGCGACGATTTTTTAGTAAGACAACAATCGACCAAGGTTCAATGGCAAACTAATACCCACTTTTCAATTAGAGAATCCAAAAGTTTTTTTTTTTTGAACTCTATGAGCTCTTTTGAAATTCTTCTCAGAAGTCCTCTGGAATTATTTTTTGAACTCTCCTTGACTTTTACTCAGAACACCTTAGAACTGAAATTCCCTTAGAGTTTCAGAAGAATTTCCCCAGTATTATCCAGAAATTATTCCCGGAATGAGCTAGAAATTATCGGTACTCCCTTGAAATTTTCCTCAAAATCCCTTTGGAATTTCACTCAAAATTTAATTTTCTCGGTATTCTTTTCGAAATTATCTTGGAACGAGCTGCAGGATGTACTAGAAATTGAGGTTCTTCTCGGAATATTTTTGAACTTTTTTTTCTCAGAACACCTAGGAACTGAAATTCCCCTCAATTTTCAGAAGAATTTCCTCTATATTCTCCAGAATTTCCCCAACATCCTTTTGGAATTTCATTCAAAATTTGATTCTCTCGGTATTCTTTTCGAAATTATCTTGGAACTATCTGCAGGATTCACTAGAAATTATTCGCAGAATTTTCATGGAATCATCCCCAGAAATCATTTCTTTTGGAACTTTTCTTCAGAATTCTTCTCGGAAGTCAAGTTTAAGTTGTCTGTCCATTCACCAAAATGTTGTAGTTTTTTCTACCAGAAATGTTCAATAAAGCTTGCCCCTCCATTCACCAGAACTGTGCAATGTACAGTACATCAGGAATTTTCAATTCAACTATCGCCTTCATGCAGCAGATTGTTGCAAATCTTGCACCAGAAATTTTCAATACAACTTGCCCCAGAAAATTTCAATTGACAATTTTCCACCGTTAATGTTCAATAAAAATTATTCTCCAATCTTCTGATTGGTGCAGATATCCTTTTTCCATTTTCCACCAGACATTTTCAATATAGCTTGTTTATCCTATCAATAGAATGTAGCAGGTTTTCCATCAAATAAAGCTTGCCCCTAATTTTAGATTTTTCAGCATAAATTTCAGTAAAACAGCTTCCCTCCAATCATCATAATAGTGCAAATTTTACACCAGAAATTATTATTAAAGTTTGTTCCTCTATTGAGCAAAAGGATGCAAATTTGAGACCAAACATTTTCCGTAAAGCTTGCCCATCCGTTCACCAGAACGTTGCAGATTTTCCTCCATTAGTTTTCAATATAGTTTAATTTAAATAAAGCTTGTGCCTTCATTTACCAGACCAGTGCAAGTTTTCCACCAGAAATTTTCTGTTCGTTTCATTTATCATAGCGAAACAAATTTTGCACCAGAAATTTTCAATAAAGCATGTTCTTTCATTCACCAGAACGGTGCACTAAAAATTGTCAGTGAAGTTTATTTCACCATGCACTTTTGTGGTGCAATTTTCAGGCTTTGCCTTTTCATGCACCAGAAAGGTGCAAATTTTCCACCATAAATTTTCAATGAAGCTTGCATTCATCAGAAAGATGCAAATTATGCACATGAATAAACCTTGCTTCTACAAGTGTTGCGAACGTTCCACCAGAAATTTTCAGTTAAATGTGCACCTCCAATTTTTTTGCATGATTCAATTTTTCCACCAGAATTATTCAATAAAAAGCTTTTTCTACGATTTACCACCACAAAGGTGAATTTTTCAACCTTAAATTTACCCTCTTCTTTTAACCCTCCATGAACCACTTGAAAAAACAAATTACACCAGATTTTTTTTTTGTATGCACCACTGTGGTGCAATTATTTGACCAAAAATTGTCATTGAAGTTTGTCCATTCATGCACCTTTGTGGTGCAATTTTCAGACACTATTTCAAAAGAATTGACGCAATAAAAGGTTTTCAGTACCCTTATAGCATGAAATGAAGTTAGTTACCTTCAAATCAAGCTATCAAGAAATCAAGTTATTTTATATCATAATTTGGAAATGTGGAAATACACGTCTTATAGATAAAAGGAGGGGCAATTGCCCCACTTTGCCCCACCCTGTGCACGCCGGTGCTAATGCTGATAAATCAAAACACATTAATACCTGCCTTCAGAAAAAAAACTTTCATAAAAGTGCGAACTAAATATAGAATTGCTGTAGAGGACAAAAACCATTTTTAATTTATTTTTTAAAAGTTTCGTTCAAGTTCGGCCAGAAGCTGCTTAGAATGCTCTACAAATATGGCACCGGAACTTTCAAGTTCTTAGAATTCTATAGACCACCTTCAACCAAGCTGCTTAAGCCACAAATAGCCTTTTATCAGAACTTTTGGTTACTTGGGCAAGCTTCTTGTTCAGTAGATGTTTTTTTCCTTGATTTGCTTTCCGTCGATCTTGTTTTCCGTGCTGAGCACAAATGCTACCGACGCCAGGGAGGCAGCTCCCACACCTGGATCCTACCTACTCATGAACCGAGTACAGCTTTCCCCCGAAGAACGCGCTCTGATTTTATGCGAATGACTAGTTCTCCATTGGCACTACTCACATGCAAAAAATCGGTCTGACTGGTTGAAACCCTGCAGAGAAAAAGCGGTGGGTGCAACTCAGTGGGTAGCGCGTTCTTCGGGGAATAGCTGTACTCTCATAAAACTGTCCCGGTACTAACAAACCTAGTCTAGATATGCACTAACATTATTTCCGTATGTTCTAACACCGTTTCCCTCCGGTTCTTCCTTCGTTCCAGGAAAAAGTCCTTCTGCCAATCAACGAAACCTTCATCGCTGAAGAAACGTCGCAGCTCAACGTCAGCGTGGATCAATCGTCGCAACTCGGTTACGCCTCCCTCGACGGTGGTGCGCAAACGTTTCAAGAGTCTTCCCTTTGCAGTGGGCCCACCGGAAGGAACCGATCCGGAAATCACGGTAGACGAGTTCTTCCTCCAGGAAGCACTCGCACAACGCAGCAAAGAAAGCGCTTACCGGCACACCGATGAGGATCCTTCGCAGGCAATGACCGAAAATGACGACAGTAGCCGTAGCTACAGCGAAATCAGCGAGGGAACATCGCTTAACCCGCTGAAATTGCCCCCACCCTGTAAGTGTCCGTACTTTGGCGAGGGCTGTAGCAAGCAGCAGTACGAAGGAATCCGGCCAGCCGAGATAAAAATCGTCAAAACCACCTCGAACTTTAGCTCAATCTCGAACTTTGATACCCACGTCTATAGCAATATCTCGACCCGATCGACCTCGAGTAGTTTATCGACATTGCCGGCATCTTCGGTGGTGTCTCCAAATAAAAAAGGCAACAATTTGAAAAGCGTCTCGGTGGTGACGTGGGATTCACGCCGCCATCAACGGCGTGGATCGAGTTTCGGTGGGGCACGAACATCCTTGTTGTTAACACCGACGAAGCCCAGCGTTTCGAGTACATCTCTGCGACGCTCGGCAACGTTGAGGCATCACAATGAAAGTACACCGTCGATCGTTGTATCGGGAGTCCCAAAGAAGAACAGCTCGTCACCGTGTCTGATTCAAAGGCAAACCACTATTCGGTCCCATCACTCCCGGAACTCCAGCGTCATATCGCGGAACTCCTCGCGCCATGGACGCATCATTCGTCTGGAACAGAAGGCAACCAAGGTGCTGGGGGTGGTATTCTTCACCTTCGTGATACTGTGGGCTCCGTTCTTCGTGCTGAACCTGCTGCCGAGCGTATGCCAGGAGTGCGAGGAAAGCATCAACCACTGGGTGTTTGAGTTTGTGACCTGGCTCGGATACGCCAGCAGTATGGTCAATCCGATTTTCTATACCATTTTCAACAAGGCGTTCCGGGATGCCTTCAAAAAGGTGCTACTCTGCCGGTACGGTTCGAAGCCGACCTGGCAACCGAGCAGCTAGCAGCACTGCATTGCTCATTCCCGTACGGTGGCTGTCTAGTACTGAGAGCTCTCTGGTGCGCCAAATACCACGTCCACTTCCCTTTTCCGAAGTGGGCTCGATGTTGCACTTACTATTTTTCTATCAAAGGTAGCACTAGAGAATTTTTTACGAAGAAACTTAAGAGATGTTGTCGTGTGTTAGAGGAAAAATAAATGTTTACACTGTTAGAAGAATACAGCACGAGTCGAATGTCTGATGCCGAACATCCAGCAAACTAACTGTTACAAATTTAATAAAAATTTAAATGTCTGGTTTATCGTTGGAAGATAAAGGATTTTTTCACAACATCAATACAAACCAACATTTTCCGATGGTTACGTTATGGTACATTTGCACAAGTTAAAGGTAACATCTTCTACTTCTTCTCGTGGGTGCCATGCAAGTACACTTTACAGTCTACTTATTGCTACATCAGTTCGTTATGGTAGAGTACGTACGGATCGAGTGTCAGTTGTGTAGTGGTGGTTATTTAGCACGTATGTAAAACGGGTTAGTTTATACACTTTCATCTGCCAGCAGTGGCACTCGGGAAACGGGAAGTGTAGCCGGATAACGAACGTAGTTCTCCACCCACTGTTGTAGGTTTTCTTCGTCTCGTTTGAACGGGTAGGTACCCAAGGTGATGGGAACCCGCAGTGCCACCTGTCGCTCCATCATGTTTGGTTCGACGAGGATCTGGACAGGGAACAGCAAATGGACACAACATTAACTGACGCGGATGAAAGCGGTAAAATGAATGCAGTTCAGGCATGTCTTCAATAAAATAAACTCAAACCAATTTCACCGAGACTCCAGGTAACATCAATGTTCGGACCCATTCGAACAAGTTAAATACTCACGCAAACGCTGTACTGTATCCTAATCAAGTGGCACCCGAGCAGGTTGGTGGGTGGCAACGGCGGCACTGTCAGATGTCCGTTCTGCAGCACATCTCTGATGCCGGATTTGATACGATCCCGTACGATTGCTGCCAGCTCTCGACGTTCCTGGTGCAACAATTTGCCGTGTGCATAGTAGTGAATGGTCTGGCATCCGGATGTGGCACAGGTTATGAAGTGAGAAAATGGAAGCGTAGAATGAGATAGGAACATATTCAGATTAATTTGTACAGTGCTATTTATGTCGGGTAGAGAACTAATCCGGCTTAAGAGCCTTTTTCCATCATGTCGGCCAGGAGACATAAAATATATCAATGATTTCGACATGCAGGGCTAGGTTATAACAAAATGTAAACAATTTGTGGTTCTTTATCGAACCCAATGGTAGGGTAAATAAATTTAGAAGTCATCTTTAACAATGAATTATCGGCTCCGGAAAGCTAACGCGATTTAGCCTTCCAAATAAGCGAACTGGATAAAAAGAAGTCATCTTAAGTAAAAATATACGATTTTTTTGTACAAATCCGTTTGAAAAAAAATCAGGAAATGTGCGAGTTGTCATGCTTAGTATGACGGACATTGATGCTTAACCCTACCTAGTTGAATCTCATTTTGAGTTTGCCTTTGAAAGTAATTAAAATGGAAGCAGCATTAAATTGAAATGGACGGTAGGATGATTGCGGTCTGTTCCGTTGGGTAATGCAGCTTGAGTGTGCAAATTAAATGAGAGATAATTATGGTCTTGAAAAAAAGTGTAATGATAATTGCTGGTTAGATGCTTGAGCAACATTAATAAATCAAATCAATTGTGTTCTGTTGTACAAGGATAAAACCACATAGTGATTCGCATTACGTCGTAAGGTTGGAAATCAGACATTTTATTTGCCAAATTTAAAAAAATAAAAGTAGAAGGGTCTGTGCCTAGGGGCACGAACGGAAGCTTGACGTAGGACCGCTAGTGGACGGAACAAATGTGAACATTTAGTTCTTTTAATTGATCAATCATCAATTATCTTAACTCTTTCCGTTTTTTATTTGTAAGCGTATCAAATTTGTAGTATTTATTTCAAAGAGAAAGTTGATGAAGAGAATCCAAGGGACTGTCAACTTGAGTATTTTCGATTCATCTACCCGACTTTAAAAGGTGTATTTTAATTTGTTTTTGTTTTATATGAATTTTTAAGTTTTGAGCATTTTGGTATACTTTAATATTCAATTCACCCCTCACAGGATTTCCTTCCAAATTATATGAATGTTGAATATGGAAGTATTGTATGTGCAGAATATGTAAAAAAAGGAGGGACTTCGAGAGATTGAACTCGTGAGAGCTAATTTTCTCACAAATTTGATTTTATTGGCTTTCTGGGGACTGAATATACACCCAGAGCGAATTATTCTCACTTCTCTCAAATTCTATATGGATTTTTAACACTTCCTACCAGCGTGTTCTGGAAATGGTCGGACGATGATTAATCTCACCAATACATTCGGGTCTACAATTCCACACTTTATATAGAGACCAGGTTGAGCCTTGATAGCTAGCTACTTGCGGGAACTGATGACCTTGACAAATGTCCAAATAATACTCTTAACAAATGTATGGTGGTTGAGTAATGCTGACGAGCACGACGAGCTACTGATTCCGATCCTAGCCTAGCGGTGGGACTTCTTCCTCCTTCTCTATGGTTGCTCATATGAGCTCTGCAGCTCGCTGCTTGCAGGCAGCCTTTCGTTGTTGTTGTTGTTGTTGTTGAAAGCACTCTTGCTGCTGCTGCTGGACTGGACACCACCACTTACGGTTCAGTGGGACCGTATCGAATTCGATTTTTAGGTCTGTGTTAGGGAATGTGCTGTTTTCAGACATTCGGTGATAATTTTGATCACCATTGTAACAGTTGGACATTTGGTATTTTTCAATAGTGACCTATTGAAAATTAACTAAGAGTTCATTTTAGCAGATTGGTAGATAAATTTCCAATCGTTTGGCTTGTTTAGAATTAAAATATATCTGCTATTGGTCGAAACCTGACCTCTTTTCGTAATGCTGTGCATTTTGGTTTTTTGAAATTGCGTGGATTCTATAGATCCTGTGGAGATCTATCTAGAGCTGATGTATGTGTTGGAAGAGGGAAAAATGTAAACTTTGCGGGAGACGATGTCTTAACACTCGCAAGCAATTTTGTGAAATATGAAGTAAAACAAATCCTAGCTAGTTCTGCATGATGATTTTGTTTGATTTTATTTATTTGTAAAGTCGCCGGGAAATACCAGCTGGCGATTTGTTTTTTATGATAACTCCTTACTTGCAAACAGGCAAAACTCACAAACAGGCTGCTTTTTCATGGTATACAGTGTGATAATTCAATAATCAATAAATTATCTCAACATTTATCGTTTATTGTTTATCAGTCAACAGGTAAAATGTTTACCCCAATGACACCTGTTTTACAACTAAATACAAAACTAACGAATAACATAAATTAACATAAAACTTGTTTAAAACTACGCTTGTTTGTTTCTCGTGACACGTTGAAATCGTACACATAATAACACCGGTTGAATACACGGGACATGCTTCGCAAAGGTTGTCCAAGAAACTAAGAAGCGTAGGACTGTCAATGTTGCCTTGCAGAAGATCCCCAACAAAGCACGATTTTGCCACGTTGCGTCTTGCTTCTAGTAATTCCCGATTTATAAGTAGACAACGGCTTTCATAACTGGGCAGGTTGAATGGATCTCTCCACCTAAGATGACGTAGAGCGAACCGGACGAATTTTCGCTGAACAGCTTCGATGCGTTGAGTTTCATTCTGGTAATAAGGAGACCAGACGATAGACGAATACTCCAAGATAGGGCGCACAATTGAGCAGTATAAAGCTTTTAGGCAGTAAACGTCCGTGAACTTTTTTGTAAAGCGAAATAAACATCCTAGTTGCGATAAGGCTTTAGACACAACGTACGCGACGTGATCCTTGAAGGTTAATTTTGTATCAACCAGAATCCCCAGGTCCTTAAATGTCGAATCACGTTGTAGATTCACGCCTCCCAGAGCATAGCTAAAATGGAAGAGTGATTGCTTGCGGCCAAATGAAATAACCGAACATTTGGACACGTTCAGCGACATTCGATTAATATGAAACCATTCAGCGAAGGCTTCCAGTTGTTGTTGCAGAAAAAACGCGTCTTGTGGTTGCTTTATCGTGTAGTAAAGCTTCAGGTCATCGGCATACGAGAGTTTTAGGCATTTCAAGATAAAATTGACATCGTTCATATACAGCAAGAATAGAAACGGCCCCAAGTGACTTCCTTGGGGAACACCAGACCAAACCGGAAAGGAGGGCGAAACGTGGTCTCCAAATTTGACGGACATACTTCGACCGGTTAGGTAGGATCGAAGCCAGGAAAGCAAGTTACTGTTCATTCCCAGCTTGTCGAATTTAGCAACTGCGATTTGATGATTCATTTTATCAAACGCCGCGGATAAGTCTGTGTAAATAGCGTCTACTTGTTGACCATTTTCTATTTGGCGGATCACGAACGAAGTGAAACAAGTCAAATTAGTTGTCGTCGAACGGTTAGGCATAAATCCGTGCTGATCAATCGAAATGTAGTGTGCGTAGTTCTGAACCAGCTTATGCAGAACGATCACCTCAAACAGCTTAGAAGTGGCGCTCAACGCAGCTATGCCCCGATAGTTCGAAACAATCCGCTTGCAGCCTTTCTTGAAAACTGGGAAAACATACGACTACTTCCAGCAGTTACACCAGTAGCCAAAGATAGGTTGAATACTCTTGCTAGTGGTGTTGCAAGTGTATCCGCGCAGCATTTGAGGACAAGCGATGGAATCCCATCCGGACCACATCCCGTGGAGGATTTTAAATCCTTTCCGGCTGATATAACCATATCGTTCGTGATCACGAACTGTAGCCCAGAGGCCGAAAGTTGAGGAACATTTCTGGTGGCGACGGCTACATCCTGCGGGTCGATGTGTTCATTAGTGAAAACATTGCTGAATTGAGAACGGAACAGGTCGGCGATGTCAGTGGTGGAATCAGCTTCGAACAATCCGTTGGTCATCGTAGAGGGCAGTCAGGATTCCATCCGTTGGTGATTGCCGTAACGTAACGGATTTGTCTTGAAGCGCCTTTGCAGATGGTCCTGATATGCGTTGTACAAACGATTATTAAGTTGGTTGTATTCAGTGCTCGCCGCCATATATCTCATTCTCGTGGAGTCCGTGCGATACTTGCTATGTCGTCTGAGAGCTGCCCGCTTCACAGTCCTAAGATGCTTGAGGTCAGCATTTGACCAGGCTGGCTTAGCCGGTTCGTGTCTAGACTTCACGGGAACGAACTGATCGATGGCATACCACAGGATACCAGATATGGTCGACGCAGCGAGGTTGGCATCACAATTTTGAAGCACCTCGTCCCAATCGACATGTGCGAGGAACTCGTTCATGCTGTTGAAGTCAGCCTTTCTGAAATCATAGGCGATGCTTTCAGAGGTATCTTGGAAGCGTTGCTGTGGACTTATCTTGAATTCCATCAGTACAGGAGGATGATGCCTGCAGATTTTAACGAGCGGTGATGGAGCTTGCATAACTGTGCTGTGCTCGCAAAGTTCCTCACTGACGAAGCACAGATCAAGCGTACGATTGTTTTCATTTGCAATTCCACTCATTTGTCTGAGTCCAGCGGTGCTATACGCATCAAGCAGCTTCCGTGATGCCAAGCTAATCGAGGATCGTGATGTAATCGGGTACAGGGAACCATGTGGACTACGCTGCCAAGAGATCGAGCTCAAGTTGAAATCGCCTAGGATGATAACGTTGTATTTTGGTCCTAACTGCGAAACCACCCAGTTAAGCGAATCGATATGCTTTTCGATCAAAGATTCATCGTTTACTCGATCAGGGGGAATATACACAACGCATAGGTAGAGTGTGGCATCGACAGTGGCAATTGCGATCCATATTTGCTCAACCGCCGAGCCATCAGGAGGGTCCAGCGTACGGGATTTAAAACTCGAGCGAACAGCCAGCAAAACACCACCTCCAGTGGTTTTGTTGCTATTCGAAGGCGACCGGTCTTGTCGATAAACGGAATATGATTCGCCAAACAACTGATTCGTTGAGGTATGTCCAT